AGATAATTTTTTTATATTATTTTTCATATAACTTTTATATTGTATTAAATAAGTAAGTGTTTTTAATTTTATGAATTTTAAATAAATAAAAATTTAATTATTTAAATAATATATAAAATTATACTTAAAAAAACTATTTTTAAATCGTTTTCCATCTTTCAATTAGGAATTTAATCCGAATAACACCTAAATTGAGGTTGTCGCTTTCAGAATATACGTTACTTGGCAGGAGGAGGATTCGCGAAGGCAAATGGTCGGTTTGGTTTTGCCCGCAAAGGACAGATTTCCCGGGAACTTGTCCCTTGCAAGTTGCACGTGTAAGCAAGTGTACGTTACGGGATTCTCATTGTTCCCTGTTGATTTTAATTTCTCAAAATTAAATTTCATCAGTTCAATTCTGAAATTGGTTTTCAAGAAGTGGTTCTTTCATCAGAGGTTTTAACATCATGGTTTGTAGATAGATCAGTGAGTCATCGTATATCCTCAAATCCTTCGAGAGATGTGTTCAGATCTCTCTACTAACTTAATAAATAAATAAATAAAATAATACTTGTTACATTGAAAAGGAAAAACTAATAAATGGTTAAAAAATACTTAAGAGTAGGTGGATGGATTGATTAGCACTCTTTCAATTTAATTAGAGATTTTAATTTTAAGTTCTAAGAATGCAGTTTCGTTAAAACTCATGAAAAAAATTTTACCGCCTATTGGGTCATGTCTAACTCGAATCCGAATTAGTTAATGACCTAATAGATTTCTGGACACCAGATGGTCCATACAAAAAAATAAATAAATGGTTAAGAAATTGTAATTTAACGTTTTTACTAAGTAAATAATATAAGGAATGATGTGTAATTGGTAAGTAAGTTCATTGAGTTAATAATAATGTAATTTTTTAAAAATTATTGTGTCATAAATGAATTGAAAAAAAATTAATTTTGATATGTGTACAAATTAATTTAAGAATACTTTAACTATTAAAAAAAATGAAAAGAATCAACAAGTATTTATTTTTTATAATATGTCTCGGCATATTGGACTTCTTTCCAGCCTTTCTTCTTCTGTCTAACTAACTTTAAAAGAAAAGAATGTTGGAGCTGCATAAAGGGATTTGAATACTGAAGTCCAAATATTGTGCTTTTAGAACTCAGGCCCAAGCAATGGTTAGCCTTCTTGGACCAACCAAAGGGGCTAGAGAGTAGAGACAGAAGAAAATATTGGGCATCCATTCAGGCTTTGTGCTTGATTACACAAGAAGGGCTTCTAGAGAGAAGTAGTTGAACTCAATTTATGTCCCTTCTCCAGTTCTCCCCCTCTCCAACAATTACACAAGTTCGAAACAAGAAATTTTGGGCCATTGAAAATGTCATTGTTATTGGTTCAATCAAATTCAGTTCAACTTCTCTAATTGGATCCTACCAGCTTCACTCAGAACAAGCCCACTGAAAACAGCTTGTAGTTGAAAGCCCAATTTAGCCTCACTAAAAACAATTGGTTATTAGGATCCAATCCAAAAGAAGATGAATTATGAATGTCTTCTAAGATTTTTTTTTCCTCTCAGACGAAGAAAAGATTCTACAACAGGGTGGATCTGTTCCTTTATTTATTACATTTTTTCTCAGTGGTCCCATGATTCAAATTTAAAAGTCAATAAGGTTTGAGGTTAATTGGTACTTATAATATTGAAGTCGGAGCTCAGTAAAAGTGTACCGTGTATGCAATGTTTCTTTCAAGTTTTTGGTAACTTTTGTATATTTTTTTTAATACATAAAAATCAAAAGTTAAATTCTAAATTTATGATAAAAGTATATACAATTTTGCTATTAAATTATATAATTGATGGTTGATTTACTTGTGCTATGCTTGAGTGGTTGTACATAATTTTGTAGTCCATATAAGAAAAAACTGAAACACCCTAACCATTCCAACACCCACCAAGAGATATGTTTACCATAAGAATCTCATATTCTTCTTCTCTTCCTTTTTTTTTTCTTTATATTTTTTTAAAATTCTAAATTATACAATAAAAACAAATTTCTCTTATCATTTTCACCCATCTCCTCTATGTGCCTGGGCTAGCACTCAAACCTAATCCTCTTATTTAAAATAAACCTTCGTGGTGTCTACATAGACAATGGAAGAAGCATCCTACGTTTCTTCTTTCTAGCCAATCTCACTTGCTTTGCAATTTTCATGCATAACGTGAAAAGAGATGCATACATCTCTTACCACAGTCATGTTGGACCCAACAATTATGAAGAATAGCAATTCGAGAAGATACCGTGCCCTAAAAACAATAGGCTTTGCCGCCTTTTGGAAAGTTAATCAGAAAAGGTAAATTTAGTGGGACAAGGGCAAGGCAACAACTACAGAAGGTTAAGAATTTGAAGCTAAGACTTTAACAATTGGCAACCAAAAAAAGTTCAAACAAGCTCTCATCGTCAAACTATAATTCTCTAATCAGCACAGATCGTTTGTACAAAAAAACACAGCATCAGTGCGCCCCACACAACACGACATAAGATATTATGAGTTTAAAAAAGATGATAAAAATAATCATTAAATGATCATCAATTCTAAATTTTGACTTTAAATTTATTTTTCATTTATAATTATTAAAAAGAAGAAGAAGCTCGTGTACGTACAAATTAATTTGGCAGAATAGATGACCCTATAAGACAAGTAGATGTTAAGAAGTTTATATGTTCAAATAAAGTCCAATTTATGGCTTTATTAGAAACTAGAGCGAAACAAGAGAATAGCAGTCGAGTTGTGCAAACTTTTGGTAGGCAATGGGGATGGTTGAATAATTATAACTCTCATCCTAATGGTAGAATTTGGATATTATAGAATAAAACTGTTTTGAGGGTGACTGAAGTAATTCAAACAGACCAATTGTTACATGTTGAAGTATGCTCTGCAATTGGGGATGTTAAATTTTTGTGCACAATAGTCTATGCTTTTAATACTTTTGATGGTAGACTAGCATTATGGGATCAAGTTAGAGCTCTAGACGTTGAAAATGTGCCATGGATAATTTTTGGAGACTTTAATACAACTCTAAATTATGGTGAAATGGTGAAGCCTAGTGGAGTTGTTTGGGGAGATACCTCTGAGCTCAAGGATTTTGTCAGTAGAATGGAGGTTTTTGATTTGCAATTTTCAGGTGCTTTCTTCACTTGGAGTAATAAGCAAGGGGAAAATGACAGGCTGTGGTGTAAGCTGGACAGGGTAATGGCTAATTCATCATGGGTTAGTGCATTCCCAAATACTTCTGTTGTCTTTCTAAACCCACAATCCTCAGATCACTCACCCTCTTTAGTGACTGTGGATGTATTGATGAACGAGAAACCAAGGCCATTTAGATTTTGCAATGCTTAGTCTAAGGATGAAAACTTCCTTGATTTGGTTAGGGAAGCTTGGAGTGTGGATGTTCAGGGCTGCCCTATGTTTGTTGTAGTGCAGAAATTGAAATTGGTAAAACAGAAGATGAAGCAGCTGCATAAAAATAGATATGGAAACTTGGAGGGAAGAATAAAAGATATGGCAGCAGAGCTACAAAATGTTCAAGCTTCCATGCAGAATGCTTTATTTGATGAGACTTTGGCTGTAAAGGAAAAGGAACTTCAACGTGAATTAACTAAGCTTGAGAGAGCAAATCTGTCCGTAATTGCCCAACGAGCTAAAGTAACTTGGCTAAAGGAGATGGACTCTAATTCTGCTTATTTTCATGCTAAAGTAAAGGAGAGGCAGCATAGAAGTGTTATTAACTCCATCCTGAACAGTGAAGGAGTTAGAGTGACTCAGCCTGAACTTATAGAACAAGAGTTTTTTAATGTTTTATCAAAATTTGTTTGGAAAGGCAAAAGAAGGTGTTCAAGCAGTTGATATGAATGTTATCCGCAGGGGCAGAGTGTTAACCACTAAAGAGTCAGAAGAGTTATGCAGGCCATTTACTACTAAGGAAGTGGAAACTGCCCTATTTTCAATTCCTTCTAACAAATCACCAAGGCCTGATGGATTCACTTCAGGGTTCTATAGAGCAGCCTGGTCAATAATTAAAAATGATGTCACGGTTGCTGTGTTGGATTTCTTTGACAGTGGGAAAATCCTCAAGCAAATTAATGCCACCAATATCACTATTGTTCCGAAGGTGAGTTGCCCAAATGTTGTTAGTGATTATAGGCCAATAACTTGCTGTAATGTCATCTACAAGGTGATATCGAAGCTCTTAACCCAGAGGATTAATGAAGTGCTGAGCATGCTGGTTAGTAGTAATCAAACTGCATTTGTGAAGGGCAAATCTATAACAACAAATTTATTGATTTGCCAAGATCTGGTGAGGAACTACCATAGAAGTAGGGGGCCAGCTAGATGCTTAATGAAAATTGATCTACAAAAAGCATATGATTCAATGGATTGGGGGTTTGTTATTGCAATGTTAAGAGGGCTGAACTTCCATGATAGATTTATTAACTGGCTTATGCTTTGTGTGTCTACTACCAGATTCTCTGTATTGATAAACGGACAGCCAAAAGGTTATTTTCAGGGGAAACGAGGGCTTCGACAAGGTGATCCAATCTCGCCTTATCTATTTGTGCTAGTGATGGAATATCTCACAAGGAAATTGAAGGAGTTAGATATGCAGGAGAAGTTTAAATATCATAGTAAGTGTCGAGTGATGCAACTTATGCACTTGATCTTTGCAGATGACATTATGCTCTTTTGTAAGGCTGATGAGGAGTCCACTGTATTGATGATGCAAAAGTTTGAGGAGTTTGCCC